ACATAACATAGCTATTACTTTTTGGAACTAATCATATAATTTAGCAAAATGTCTTAGTCTTTAAGACCTTCATCTATGAAATCACTATCTATAACAAACTCACTATATTCTGCTTTAGTATGTACTATCCTTATTTTTTGATTAATAAGAAATGTATACATATTTCACATAGTAGACACGCAACTGATATTTAATGATTGTTCAAAACCCTGATTTGCTGAAGAAGATTTTGGGTACGTGTAAATGAAAAATACTTTTAATATTGCTAATGCATTTATTCTTATGGTCCTACTGTTAATTTATGAAGGGCTAAGAATATTGTGTAGCTACATATATAAATGCTTTACAGTCATGGATCATTGCCTTTGGAGGAAAATAAAATTTTAAAGTCTTGTCCTTTGAAAAATAATCTCAGAATGGGATGTCATTTGTTTATGATACTCTCTTCAAGGGAAATGGAGAAAAAAGAAACACACTCTACAATTAGCTTAGGGGCAACTCTATCTTGGAGAAAGAATGCAGGTGTTAGTAATATCATCCTGTCTGGATTAGGGTCTCATGCATCATGGCTAGCAGAAACTAATTTTTATTGATGTTGAATTCTTGATGAAGTTTGAACTTGTCAAGAGTTGTAGGCTTATAAATGGGTGTATATGATGAAATGTTATTCAATTAAGCCTCATAATGCTCTAGGGTATTTCATTGTTCTGAAAAGGTGATCTCTCAAGCATGTTGTTTCCTGTACCCACAGGCTAATCCTCAAAGTGTACATTCATAACTGAACTTTAGTCTACAATTTTGAAATAAATCCTGTGGCATTTATTAGTTAAACATGTATTATTTCCCATACAACACAGCTTTTTATTGACTTATTTTTTTCTTTTGAAAACAAAATGAAATTAAGGTCCTTTTATATCCTGTTTCTTCATTTAAAGATATTAATAGATCTGATTTTAAATAAGTTTAGAGGCTATCAGTGGAGATAAAACTACAAGGACACAGTTGATGCATATGTACTTTCAAAGCACCAATATGGTGACCTAGTACACTCAACATGATGAGTTCATGCAAATATTTTATTTTTAAGGACAAAAACTTAATTAGAGGCCTTTTATTCGTCTCCTATGAAATATGTGTGTCATTGCAATTAAATAATAAAGCAATGGGTAATCTTTCTAAGCTATATGTTTAATCACGAGATTTAACAACATGCTACCCATGATGTTGAACCATAAACCTTAACTAAATATAAGAGGATATTTCGTACAAGTATTGCAAATACAGTAATGACTTTATAATCCTTACAAAATGTATTATTACTATTATTTGTTGAAAGGCTGTTATATTTTGGGCACTGTGTTAAGTATTTAAATTATATTATTTAACTTCAGAGCAGTTGTGTTAGCCATGTCACAGATTAAACAATTGCACTGAACGAGGTAAAGTTTAGTAACATACTGAAAGTGGCATGGTTGATATGAGGCAAATATAAAATTTGAATCTGGGCCCAATTGCAAATTTTGTGGATGGAAAATATAATTTTAAAATGTAAGCATTAACTTTTAAGCAACATATTTGAGATACAAGCATCAATTATTTCTATTTGTAAGAATCTCTTTAAGGAGAGGCCCTTATGCAACTGAGAGCTATGCTGATTATGAAAGTGAAACATAATTTAAATCACACCATAGTAGCAAGGCAGCATAAGATTGCAATGGCTAGAATGTTATGTTAGAATATGCATTCTGGAGTCCAAAGGCTAATTTAAAATCCTATTTACTGGCTGTATGACCTCAAGCACATTACCAGTGTCTAGGTGCCTCAGTTTCATTATCTGTGAAACAGACATATTAAAAATCCCAACTTCACGTGATCGTCAAGTCAGTGACAAGTTAAAAAATAAAAACATCAACACAAATATATGAAGTATTAAATGAGTTAATGTATGTCAAGTTCAGTGCCTGCACATAGAATCTTGATGTGCATATAAGTCGCTGTTCTATTACACAGAACCATTTGTGGCTCATGATCATGATGCTATGAAATGAATACCAAGGTCTCATAAGGATAAAAAGTGAAGAAAATTTGGAGTTAAAAGAAAAAGATGTACATTAAGCTAATTAATGGGAAAAGGGTGGGAAATGACTTATAAGTATTGTAGAGAGATTATGATGTTATTCATAATCTAGCATAAATTAATTTATTCAATGAGTATTTAGAGAATAAATTTTGCATGCCTGGCACTATGTTAGATGTAAGAAACAGTGAAGTGAGGGACAGAGATACAATCCTTGTCTTTTTAAGACTATAGTCCAAATTTACAATAATAAAATTAAGCTGAGGTCAAGTATTTCTTAGTGCAACCATAAAATTGAGACTCATTGGAGTCTCCAGTATATGTGCAGTGTAGTCAATGTCTGTTGAAGTTACTTATTACTGCAGCTTATGAAGAAAAGCATCTTCTGAATTAGCCTGACTCTCAGCGAATGTGGCATAAATTTATGTGAATACACATTACCCTATAAACTCAAGAGATTAAGAAAGAGTAAAATCTGTGTGCATAATTGTGGATTTAATCAAATAGAAATTGATAATACAATAAAAAATTAGGTATTATAAGTGGTATTAAAAATGTATAGAATGTTATCTTAGCTTCAGTTTTTCCATAAAAATGGAAAAAATATGTAATTTTCTATAACTTCTTATAGAGTAAAATTGGAAAGATAAATATAAAACATTACATGAGAAATATGTAATTTTCTTTAACTTCTTATAGAGTAAAATTGGAAACATAAATATGTTCATTTCAATGAATTATAAAGACAGAAATTCAAGCTGTATTAAATAAATTTTTTTAAAGTTTCAGTGATTCGTGATTGAGAATAGAAAGCCTGGCCATCCAGTTTTGTTTTGATGTGAACCAATGCACTGGAGGAAATAAGACTTCACTGGCAATATCGAATAGTCCTGGACAGTTTAATGAATGTAACCTTTAGCCAAAGGAAAGATTAAGTGTTTGCTGATGGCTTACGTCAATGGTGACCATGCGTTCACATTGCGTGAGAGTCTCACTTTAAAATGTTAGTTTTTGGCTACCCATATGCAGAAAACTGAAACTGGATTCCTTCCTTACACCTTATGCAAAAAATTAACTCGGGATAGATTAAAGACTTATACATAAGACCTAAAACCATACAAACCCTTGAAGAAAACCTAGCCAATACCATTCAGGTAGGCATGGGAAAAGACTTGAGTACAGCACCAAAAGCAATGGCAACAAAAACCAAAATTGACAAATGGGATCTAATTAAACAAAAGGGCTTCTGCTCAGCAAAAGACAGTATCATCAGCATGAACAGACAACCTACAGAAGAGAAAATTTTTGCACTCTATCTATCTGACAAAGGTCCAATATGCAGAATCTACAAGTAACTTAAACAAATACACAAGAAAAAACAACCCCATCAAAAAGTCGGTGAAGGATATGAATAGACACTTCTCAAAAGAAGACGTTTATGTGGCCAAAAGACATATGAAAGCTCAGCATCACTGGTCATTAGAAAAATGCAAATCAAAACCACAATGAGATACTATTTCATGCCAGTTAGAATGGCAATCATTAAAAAGTCAGGAAACAACAGATGCTGGAGCAGATGTGGAGAAATAAGAACATTTTAACACTGTTGGTGGGAGTGTAAATTAGTTCAACCATTGTGGAAGACACTGTGGTGAATCCTCAAGGATCCAGAACCAGATATACCATTTGACCCAGCAATCCCATTACTGGGTATATACCCAAAGGATTATAAATAATTCTACTATAAAGACACATACATACATATATTTATTGCAGCACTATTTACAATAGCAAATACTTGGAACCAACCCAAATGTCCATCAATGATAGACTGGATAAAGAAAATGTGGCACACATTCACCATGGAATATTATGCAGCCATAAAAAAGAATGAAAAATGAGTTAATGTCCTTTGCTGGAAACCATCATTTGCAGCAAACTAACACAGAAACAGAAAACCAAACACTGCCATGTTCTCACTCATAAGTGGGAGTTGAACAATGAAAATACATGGAAACAAAGAGGGAAACATCACACATTGGGGCACTGGGGTCTGTCAGGGGTTGGGAGACAAGGAGAAGCATAGCATTAGAACAAATACCTAATGCATGCGGGCTTAAAATCTAGATGACAAGTTGATGAGCGCAGCAAACCACCACGGCATATGTATACCGATGTAACAAAACTGCATGTTCCGCCTGCACACATATACCAGAACTTAAAGTATAATTTAAAAAGATAAATAAAATGAAAAGTCAAAAAAATAAAATAAAAATAAAACATAAAATGTTTTATCAATCATATTATAAATTTGGCTAAAAATGTGGTCATTTATATAGAAAATATGCAAGTCATCTGTATTTTTACGAAAACTGTAAATTGAATAGGTATTTGTTTTGGTGAAATTTTTAGTTTTGGGCAAAATTTGACATAAGTTGAGTCAGTAAATGTGCTTCTATGTATGTATGAATATTTTGACTCTTGAAATTTACTATTAACTTTCTAGCACAATAAGACTTCATTATTTTTATTGGCTTAATATACATTACTCTAAGGGGAAAAATGCTATTGAACAATGCTATGTCATTTTAAAAGGATTATAATAGCCATAAGGAAAAATAAGTACATTAAGTTTTCATAATACTGCTTAATATTAAAAATGCCTTACAATCCATTACCATGAAAACATAAAATCACATGCTATACCATACTTTTTTAAAGTGATGTAAACAAGTTCATAAGAGCATTTCTGTTCTCAGCATGTTTACAGTTTAGCTAGGGAGAGAAGATAGGAAAGTAGGAAAAGCTAAAATGCAGCAGAAAAATCTAAATAATATTAAAACAAGGATGCAGTATAAGTAAATATGACCATTATTGATTTTCAATAGAATTGTATAAAAAATTATTGGAAATAGAATGTGAAATGGATTTAGAGCAGCATTTAGAGAAAGCCATTCTCAGTAGGTAATAGAATGAATAAAAGCATGGAAAAGCAAAAGTCTTATGGTGTGTTCATGAGATGGTGGCTTTTCAGGGCTGGTTTGAATGAAGGGTTCACAAAGGGGATTTCAGTTAACTCAGTTCAGAGAATATTCAACTCCTACATGTTAAACCTGCACTGGATACTGAAGGAGGGGGATACAGAGTTAAATAAGACATTTTTTATTTTAAAACCATCATTCAAATACTGTGAGCAGTGCTGATAAGAAATCCCTGCTCTCGAAAATCAAACACCGCATGTTCTCACTCATAGGCGGGTGTTGATCAATGAGAATACATGGACACAGGGAGGGGAGCATCACACACTGGGGTCTGTTGGGGGAAACGGGGGAGAGACGGGGGGGTGGGGAGGTGGGAAGAGATAGCATGGGGAGAAATGCCAGATACAGGTGAGGGGAAGGAAGGCAGCAAACCACACTGCCATGTGTGTACCTATGTAACAATCTTGCATGTCCTTCACATGTACCCCAAAACCTAAAATGCAATAAAAAAAAAAAAGAAAAAGACATTAAAAAAAAAAAAAAAAGAAAGAAACCCCTGCTCTCAGGTGCCTAATCAAGGAAGATAGACCCTACATAGCAGACAGCCTCTAATCATCTCCATCTCCCTGCCTGGTATTTACACCCTTATGTGATCTCCTCCATTGGGTCTTTGGGTAAGACCTAGTGACTCCCATGAAAAAGAATAGAATATGGTGAAAGTAGCTGGGGAAAGAGGCTTTCTGATATCACACAATGGATTATCCTGTCCCCTTAATGAATAACATTTTCCTCTGCTGATGTCAGGTCATGTTTTAGTGAATAGCCACAGGGACGTAAATATCTTCACTTTATTTTTTAACATTTTTGGCCCATTCATAGAAGTCTATCCATATACCTCTTCTCCAGACCCCCTTGTTACCAGTTTTATAGTCATGTTCCTTCCAAGTCCCTGACCATTCAGTCAACCCATTGATCACAACTGATGAATTGGTACACAATTGCACATCTGGCCATTTCTTCTTCTAAGGAGTTTATGCTTAATCAGGATTGTCCAGGGAAACAGCTAATAGGGTGTGCGTATTTATATAAATGATTCTATACACTCAAGTGACATGTCCTTTGTTGGAAACTATCATTTGCAGCAAACTAATACAGAAACATCTATGCCTCTCCTTGTCCCCCACCCCCTGACAGGTCCCAGTGCCCCAATGTGTGATGTTCCCCTCCCTGTGTCCATGTATTTTCATTGTTCAACTCCCACTTATGAGTGAGAACATGTCAGTGTTTGGTTTTCTGTTTCTTTATTAGTTTGCTGTGAGTGATGGTTTCCAGCAAAGGACATCTCACGTGACTGTGTAGAATCATCTATATACATACACACACCCTATATGTATGTATACATACATATAGGGTGTGTATATGTAAATGAAAAGGTATGAACATGTATGGACCTAAAGCTAGAGCCCCAAAATATATTTTTAAAAACTGACAGAATTGAAGGGGGAAATTGCCAATTCAATAATAAATAATAGTTGGAGATACTATTAGCTCACTTTCAGCAATGGATAGAAAAACTAGGTAGAAATCAATACGGAAATGGAAGACTCGATCAACCCTATAAATCAATGATAACTAACAAATATTCCTAGAACACATTCTCAAGTGCACATGGCACATTCTCCAGGATAGACCATATGTTATTTCATAAAGCAAATCTCAATATATGTAAAAGGAATAAAAGCATACATAATATGTTTTCTGACCACAATGTAATGGAATTAGAAATTAATAATGAAAGAAAATTTGGGAAATTCAAAAGAAGTAGAAATTTTAAAGAACATTTCTAAATAACTAATCATTTAAAGAAGAAATAGCAAATTAGAAAATACCATAAGATAAATGAAAACAAAGCCACAACATACATAAATCTACAGAGTGCAGGTAAAGCAGCCATTAGAGAGAAATTTATATTTCTAAATGCCTACTTGTAAAAAATCTCAAATTTCAAAAAATAGAACTTTTCACCTGAAAAACTGGGAAAAGAAAAACAAAATCCAAAGGAAGTAGGAGAGGCATGATAAAAGATTAGAGTGAAAATGAATTAAATTGAGCTTAGAAAAACTGTAAAGACAGTCAAACTGAAAGTTGGCTTGATAAACAGATCAACAAAATGATAAAGTATAGGTAGACTGACACAAATGAAATCATAAAAGACTCAAATTAGGGGGACCTGCATGGGGGCTTGAGGGGAGCAAGTGTCGTCACTGAGTGCTGCGCCAGACTGCGACAGATATTGGGAGGGCAAGTGTTTCTTTTTGGCCCTTCCCTTTGGGTCCTGGAGCGAGAAACTCTAACGTCCAGATCAGCGGACTGAAACGCAGGCCGAGGACCCGGAGGAGTCTTTTTCACCCGTTTCCCGTCGCGTGCTTAGGCGCACTGAGGGCAGTCTTTGTGGGGTCCTCGTAGCCAGCCAAGATGGCTGCCCCCACAGCGAGGGCTTCCCGAGGCGAACTCAGGTGAGGTGGAGCTGCTCTAGTGCTGAATTCAGGGATCCCCTGATTGACAAGGAACGTTATGGCAGGCCTGTGGAGAAGCTGACTGAGGAGTGTGATTGGGCGCTCGAGAAGACTCAGCTCATCAAAGCTGCTCCAGCAGTGAAAACAAGTTCTGTGTCTGAAGACCCAGCCGTCAGTAAATTCACCAACATGACGATGAAAGGAGGAAGCAAAATAACTGGTCAGATCCCTCGTGACTCAGACTCTGGAAGCTGTGAAAAGGAAGCAGTTTGAGAAGTACCATGTCGCTTCTGCAGAGGAACAGGCAACCATTGAACAGAACCCCTACACCATCTTCCACCAAGCGCTGAAAAACGGTGAGCCTATGACTGGGCTGGTACCCATCCTCAGAGGAGGCCGTTTCTACCAGGTCCCTGAACCCCCATCCGACCCGCATCGCTGCTTCCTGGCGGTGAAGTGGGTGATGGCTGAGTGCTGGGAGAATAAGCATAGGCGGACTCTGATGCCAGAGAAGCTGTCACACGAGCTGCTGGAGGCTTTTCATAACCAGGGCCCTGGGATTAAGAGGAAGCATGACATGCACAACATGGCTGAGGCCAAAGATGCCCTGGCCCACTACCGCTGATGGTAGAGGCTCCAGGAGCCCAGGGCCCTCTGCCGCAAGAAACTGTGAGCCACTGCCACTGAAAAATAGCTGTGGTTAAGGATGTAGCTGCTTTGTAAGGGTGGGCAAGCCTCAAAAGAAAGATGGAGCAAAGCCGGGCGCGGTGGCTCAAGCCTGTAATCCCAGCACTTTGGGAGGCCGAGGCGGGTGGATCACGAGGTCAAGAGATCGTAGACCATACTGGTCAACATCGTGAAACCCCGTCTCTACTAAAAAAAAATACAAAAAATTAGCTGGGCATGGTGGCGCGTGCCTGTAATCCCAGCTACTCAGGAGGCTGAGGCAGGAGAATTGCCTGAGCCCAGGAGGCGGAGGTTGCGGTGAGCCGAGATCGCGCCATTGCACTCCAGCCTGGGTAACAAGAGCGAAACTCCGTCTCAAAAAAAAAAAAAAAAAAAAAAAAAGAAAGATGGAGCAGCATATTTACTGTCCAGGAATCCTTTCTTTGAGGCTGGAACTTGCTCTCTCTGCCCCCATTGCCTTGTAAAGATCCCTCACTGAAAGATCCCACATTGACTTGGGAATTTCCTGCAGGAAACTCGGGGAGCAGTTTTCTCTTCCCTCAGCTTGGGGTGGACCTTTGGATGTAAAAGGAAGCAGTTTTAGTATTATAAAAGATGTATTGGAAAATTCTCACGCTGATGGGGTATAGCATGTGGTGCAGTGCCAGCATCCATTGAAACTGGCTGGAGGAAACAGGCTTGTTTCCCGAGTAGTCCATGTACAAAATGTATAAAAAGTAGTTTCTGGTGTAAAAAAAAAAAAAAAAAAAGACTCAAATTAGTAAATCAGGAATAAAAAAAAAAGGCATTCTTCTTGGTCTTATAGAAGTGCATGAATTATAATATTATCAAGAACTTACTGAAGCAGACAGTTCTATTAAAAAAAGGAAAAAAAGGTAATATTATCAACACAACTATATGCCAACAAATCTGATAACCTGAATAAAATGGACAATGTTCTAAAAAGAAACAAATTACCAAAACAAATTAAAGAAGCGAAACATTGGAATACGCCTTTAACAAGTGAAAAAACTGATTTTAAAAGCTACCTACAACGTAAAGCCTAGTCTCACATATCTTCACTGGTAAATTCTATCAAATATTCAAAAAAGAATAATATTTGTCCTCCATAAACTCTTCCAAAGCATGAAAGAGGAGGAAACACATTCCAATTTATTCTATTAGGCTAGCATTATGTTGATACCAAAATGGCAAGCATGTTCTTGGCAGCAGTTATTGCTTCATATAACTAGACATCCAGAAGTAGATCAGGCTGCAGAGTTGCCCTAAGTATATCCAATATGCTTCTCTGCAGTTCACCACCTTCCTTTCACCAGTTTCATCTTCATTTGATGAAAACAAAAGGTTACAACATTTTTTAATGTTTGAAGCCACATTGCAACATGTAGAAGAAGCAAGTGAAAATTTTTTCTTTCTTTTCTTTTTTTAAAGAAAGAAAAAAGAGAGAGAGAAAGAAAGAAAAATAAGTTAAAAAAAAAAAAGAATGAAGGAGAGGAAGAAAGAGGAAGAGGAAGAGGGAGAGAGAACGGAAGTGTTGCTTTATTGCCCACGCTAGAATGCAGTCTAAAAATGGGTATTGAAAACCTCTTTTATACCAATAATTGTACTTAATAATGGAGACAGGAAAAAATGAGAGAAGAAAATAACAAACAAGCAGCCAACCAATATTTCATTTAAACCTGTAAGCAGGTGTGATGTGGTGCTGATAAGAGTGTATATTTTGTGTATTTAAAGTGGAGAGTTCTATAAATGTTTATTAAGTTTACTTGTTCCAGATCTGAGTTCAGGTCCTGGATATCCTTGTTAATTTTCTGTCTCATTGATCTAATATTGATGTTGAAGTCTCCCACTATTCTTGTGTGGGAGTCTAAGTCTCTTTATAAGTCTTATGTATCTGGGTGTTCCTGTATTGGGTACGTATATATTTAGGATCGTTAGTTCTTCTTGTTGCATTGATCCTTTTACCGTTATGTAATGTCCTTCTTTGCCTCTTTAGATCTTTGTTGCTTTAAAGTCTATTTTATCAGAGGCGAGAACTGCAACTCCTGCTTTTTATTTATTTATTTATTTTTACTCTCCATTTGGTTGGTAAATCTTTCTCCATCCCTTTGTTTTGAGTATTTTGTATCTTTGCATGTGAGATGAGTCTGGATGCAGCATACCAATGGGTTTTGGCTGTGTCTTTTGATTGGGGGATTTAGTCGATTTAAACGTGAGTTTAATACTGTCATTTGATGTTAGCTGGCAGTTTTGCCTATTAGTTGAGGTAAATTCTTCATTATGTTGATGCTCTTTACTTTTTGGTATATTTTTGGAGAGGCTGATACTGGTTGTTCCTTTCTATGTGTAGTGGTTCTTTCAGAAGCTTTTATAAAGCAGGTCTGGTGGTGATGAAATCTCTGAGTACTTGCTTGTTCACAAAAGATTTTATTTTTCCTTCACTTATGAAGCTTGTTTGGCTGGATATGAAATTCTGGGTTGAAAGTTCTTTTCTTTAAGGATGTTGAATATTGGCCTCCACTCTCTTCTGGCTTGTAGGGTTTCTGCTGAGAGATCTGCTGTGAGTCTGATAGCCTTCCCGTTGTGGGTAACCTGATCTTTCTCTCTGGCTGCCCTTAGTATTTTCTCCTTCAATTCAACCCTGGTGAATCTGACGATTATGTGCCTTGAGGTTGGTCTTCTTGAGGAATATCTTTGTGGTGTTCTCTGTATTACCTGGAGTTGAATATTGTCCTGCCTTGCTAGGTTGGGAAAGTTTTCCTGAGTAATATCCTGAAGAGTATTTTCCAGCTTGGATTGATTCTCTTCGTCACATTCAGGTACACCTATCAAATGTAGATTAGGTTTTTTCACATAGTCCCATATTTGTTGGAGACTTTGCTCGTTCCTTTTTATCCCTTTTTCTCTAATCTTGTCTTCTCGTTTTATTTCATTAAGTTGGTCTTCAACCTCTGATATCCTTTCTTGTGTGTGATCAATTCGGCTGTTAAAACTTGTGCATACTTCCCAAAGTTCTCGTGTTGTGTTTTTCAGCTCCATTAATTCACTTATATTCCTCTCTAAATTGTCTATTCTCGTTAGCATTTCATCATACCTTTTTAAAAAGTTGTTAGTTTCTTTGCATTGGGTTAGAACAAGTTCTTTTAACTCACAGAAGTTTCTTATCAGTCACCTTTTGAAGCCTACTTCTGTTAATGGAACACACTCGTTCTCCATCAGGCCTTGTTTCATTGCTGATGAGGATCTGTGATTCCCCTGTAGAGGGAGAGGTGTTCTGATTTTGGGTATTCTCAGCCTTTTTAGGCTGGCTTCTTCCCTTCTTTATAAATTTATCCATCTGTTATCTTTGTAATTACTGACTTTCTAATTAGGTTTCTGAATGGACGTCCAACTTGTTGATTCCCAGCGCTGGAATCTGAGCAACCCACAGCACAGGCTAAAACAGCAGTGTTAAGATTGATGGTGCTTTTCTGACTCTGCACCAAGAAGCCCTGCGCGGAGGCACCAGCAAAACTGCCGCACCAGCCACTGGCAGCCCATGGTGCTCCTCCGCTGGGAATCTCCTGGTCCGTGAGCAACAAAAATTCGTCTGAAAGTGTGGTGTCCTCTTGTTCTCTGCACTTTCACAGGAAGCTACAATCTTGAGCTGCTAGTGATCAGCCATCTTGGATCTCTCTCCTGAGAGAAAATTTTTTCTATAAGTCCCAGTGAAAATATTTTCTAGAAATCCCAATGAACTTTCATTCATGTGTCAGTGGACTGTGTTGTGGTAATTCCGTAAGTGAATGGGTTAATCATGATAAAAATAAACACTGACGAATTCTATAGAATTTATATTTTGCTGTGATAAATGCAGACAATATATTTTCAGCAGAGGGTACTAAGAAGGCACTGAGACAACTGGGATGTCTAAAACTGATGTTTTCCAGTTTTCCTGGTCATGTTGGCAATAGTATTCTGTGTGTGATTCCAGATTATGACAAGTCCTGAGTAGGCTTATCAAGGGACCTACCTTAACATATCACCCTGAAGCTCTACTATGCTTAGCTTAAAGTGTTCCCATAATTGTTTCTAATCACCCATGTCACCTGGATTTAAAATGTGAATTTTAGATGTATTTTCTTAAAATGAAAGGATTATCTTTATATGTCTTGGACACATTACAAAATAGCCACTAGATATCACTCATGAGCAGTGCCTCATAGGTTTTGTCTGTCTGTGGGTATGCATTCTCTGATGTTGCCAGGGTACACCAGATACCACTGCCTGACCAGAATCTATAATTCTACAATCCCATGCTTTAATCAAACTTGGTTTTAAAACTACTCATTGGCTGGAAAAATGCAATGTTGTGTTAGTTGCCACCAATAATGCTCAGTAATGGCTGTGCTTTAGAATGACCCAAGAAATAAAAAAATACTGGTCAGAGGCTATGAAGTGAGGCCCTAACATCATTAGTTCTAAAAATAAAAACAAACAAACAAACAAAACCCACTCTCCTGCTCACTCATTCTAATGTGCTGTCAGTATTGAGAACAAGAAGCTTAGACTACTCACAGCACCTACCTGAAATGACAGGAATCTCACAAACCAGTGGGGTAACGTACTGGAAAGTCATGCATAGATAATGGAGGTAGCCAAAATATCCAATATAGTAATATCACTTTAAACAATTCTTTCTTTAATAGTATGAGTTTACCCAGATAAATGTTTGAAAAAATCAACATGTTTTTGTCCCATTTCTTTCTCATTAATAATTTCTGTTAACTTTTGTTTAATTGTATTATTAATTTAAAAAAATCATGTTCTCTGGCTAGCCTTATATACAGGCATATGTTAGCAGAGTATTAATAAGCTGTAAGACAGCTTATTAGTGGATAAAATAAATATTTATGGGCTTGTATGGAAAAGCCATTCATTTTCCCTTTCTTGAAAAAC